TTGTGAGGACGCTTGCTAATGCGTCAATTGTCGGCCGGGTCTAGGCACGGTTTTAAACCGTGTCTACGTCCGGTCGTCAGTTGTAACCGTCACTAGCGCTGGTGTCAATAACAAACCTCCATAGTGCCCTATATCTAATGACGACCCGACGTAGTTTAAAACCGTGCCTAGACCAGCTGGTAAACCGTCTGGGTAACAAGCGCTCAGGTCTCAATACCACTTGTGTGCTTCGGATGGTCAACTTTTCTCGCAGAACGTGCTTCAACCGCGTCAAGAGGTCCTCACTGGTATCAAACAATAGGTGTTCAAGTCTAGTGACCAGAATTTATACTCCATGTGGGGCCTGACTCGTGCTTTATGTAAAAGCAGTCTTTGCCTCGGGGTGAAGTATCGCCTCGCTCTATTGAGAACAAAACTTGAAAGCGTTACAGACAGAGTCACTTTCACATTTATGATATTAGTATGTAAGTATGGATAACCATTAAATTTTGATTTCTGAAGTATATTTCGTGGTTCGTAAATATTTCATTAATATTATAAAGGCGAAAGATTGTAAGTGTGTGTTTGTTACTTCTTCATGTCTAAACGGCTGGAGCGATTTTAATAAAATTTGGTATGGAGTTAGCTGACACTCTGGGTTAACACATAGGCTACGTTTTACTGCGGGAAAACATCCCGTATAAACCGCGGGTAACACCGCGGGGCATAGCATGTTTTAATAAGTGTCAAATTGAAATGAGAGTTTTTTAAAGTGAAACTATTATTAACGACACCATTATTTTATAGATCGACACCATTTTTTAGTTCATCTTTAGCATGGCGCATTACATTTTAAATTGTTATTAATTCATTCAGAACTTATCAACAAGCATCGGTGCTTCATGTTAGAAAGCACCCTTCTACGAGGCTGGTCCGTGTTCGAATTCCAGCCGAGAAAGAATGATATTTACTAATGACTTTAAAAGTTTTATTCACGCCGTGGTTTCGTAAAAGTACACCATTTTTACTCTCAGAACCTCCGCCCAGAAAATTACTACAGAAACATTGTGCGTTTTCTGGTTTCATGTCTCTGGTCTCGCCGTCCGCTCCCCAGCTTATAGGGAAAAGTCAACTACTGGGAACAGCATAGACATAAAATAAATTACTGATAGTTTTGTTTATACAAACTTTTAAATAATCGTTACCATTTTTTTAAAACTATTATTTTTAATAAATTATATTCAAGAAATAAGGTACGTTTCGCGTGATATGGCAATGATTACATTTTGTTATAGGAAAAAAACATCTCCATGGTGATTTACCTTAAGAATGACGTCATATTTACATTGTTGATTTTTCGATATTTTGTATAATACAATCGATGATACCGAAATGTCGATTTATGGGTTACCTAAAGCTGACTCTATTATTAGGTTTCCTTTATACGTCCGTCTGTCGATTGGTCCATATCTCATGCAGTAAAAGCTAAATAGGCAATTATTTTTCGAGCATTTGGTTTGCAATCATTCTTTCTCCGCATAAATGTTTCTATCAAAAGGATTAGGGTCCCCTGTATGTACAATAATAATAAGATAATGATGATGTACTTAATAATTAAGTACCACTAAACATATCAGCAGCAGATCATGTGTATGAATATGTATTGATAATGATATACCTACGTATAGAATTTATTAGAAAACATTAAGATTATATAAAATTTTCTTTAGTAAGCCAGTCATAGAAGCATGCTAGTATCATAAAATTTTTAAAGAGGACAAGAACCTAGACAGATATATGGTGTCGCTAGGTAGGTATGTCCATTAACTAATGGTTACCAGTAAATTGGTTAAGTGGACTCTTATCTCGTCATTCGTCCAAATAACTTGTAGCACTACCAAGTCAATAAATTAATATGTAAAATAACCGAAAGAACATTTTTAAATCTAATAATGAATCTAACTTCAAACGATTTTAAGTAAGATTCTCATCTTGCTTTTGTATTTGCTCTATATAAACGAATGACTTATATTTTTAGACACTATAATGGTGGTTTAGAATTTACTATTAAAGATATAAACTTATTTTACTCTGCAATTAAAAAACAACTTGTATCCCACAGTGGACTAGGAGTAATGAAATAAAAATAGAATGTGTCATTTGCGGATTTTTCTGTAAGTGTAGATAGCAAATTGTTACAGAGGATATGCGAACAGATAACCAAACAATAATTTTAATATTTTATTGAAGTCTCTGTTATCTGCATGTGTAAGTGACCGCAATATCTTGTTTTCTTTGTTTGGTAATAAGAAGTTTATTAAATTGTACTATGTATCGTGGGTCATAAAAATGATAAGGATATACCTACTTAATACCAAATACATTATAAACTATTCTGTCTAAGTAGGTTATACATACAAGCAAAGAGAGTTCACACTTCTTTCACACGACTAATGATAAAATTGGGTAGTAGGTACATTCTGCAGCGGCCAACAAAAGAGGCATTGTTGGACGAACGTAACATACGTAATTCCATCAATGCCTAGTTGTGGGCGAGGCTTGTATAGTACTTTTCTCTAATAAAGCGCGGAAATTAAAACTAATTATTACCTAGGCAAAACTTTGGAAATTCTGGAAAAACAATGACGAACAAGGAACATCAATTATTTTTCCCGTGCTAGTGTTCATTTGTTTTTTGTTTTCATAAACAGCTTACCATATCGAAATCCAGTTCGAAATAAAATAAATTCTTTGATTATTATACATATATCAAATAATAATCGAATCCCCTATCGATCGCGGAGCCCTGGCCCAAAGTGTCCACTGGGAAAGAGGGGTCTGCTTGTGGCCTTTTGTATCAAGCGTTATTTGTAAGATAGCCGCAGTTATAAGATTCATTGCGGAAGCCTTCACCCCATGTATAGAAACATGATACAGCTGACTTACTAGGCTTCAATCACAGAGGCTTCAAGATACTGAGAGAATTATACCAACCAATGTATCAAGTGAACGACAACTTCCTGGCAGTGTGTTAAAGTCACGACACGATCACAATAGTTAGATTTATTTAAAGGCATTTAATTAGCACCTACTTATACAGCTGGTGCCGCTGACTTCGTTTTTGTAGATTTATTAAATTTGGAAACGTAATTTAAAGCTTCCAACTTATATTATTTAGTAAATTTCTTATGTCCTTCTACGTGGTCTCTTTTCTTCTATCTTTTTAACGAATTTCATCAGAACCGTTCACTCGGACAGAGTTACATTGCTTTTATAATATCAGAAAGTAAAAACATGCACTAGATTATAAGTCCAAGATGATTGCGATCTTGTATTTTTAAGTAGAAATAAACCCTTTGCGTGTGATCTAACTTCTTTAAGAGTTTTCTCTGGTTTCCTCATATTGTTTTGGGAATCAGAGACGTTGACGTCTAGAAGAGAGAAGATATAAGTGGTTCAAATGTTTTGATTGTGCCTATATTTTATTAGTCTAATTACCTATAACCATTAAATCTTTACTGATATGAAGATTATAATTAAAAAAAGATTGAAAGTCTGGACTATATGAAAAAATTCAATTAAATTAAACAGACTTTTCTACCTCTTGTAAAGTTTGTTCAAATAGACTAACAATGTCATGCATGATATACCTACTTATAGTTGAGAGCATTAAATGCAATTTATATAAATATATATATACATTATACATATATATTATAAAAACCTACATTTATATATATTATACCTACGTCATGACAAGTTAATTGAAAATACGAGTTTGGAGAACGAGGTGATTCGATTTTACACAAAGTTGGGCCCAAAATAGACCAAAACCCAGCTTGTCCTACAATTATTTAAGATTTCTTTCCTGGATATAAACTTGACGGCAGCTAAGTCAAGTGATGACTTTGACTCATTGCAGAAATAAAGTCAGTGGTTCGAATTGTTGTAGAGATAAAATGAATCTGCTATTAATGATTGATACGGGCATTCGTTAAACCTTTGAATAACATGAAAAATATGTTTTAACCGTTCTTTGTTCTTCTATTCAAATGTATATCAATTGTTCAGTACCAAGATAACTAATTGCCTGCATATTAAAATGTTGCATTTTGGGGCTGTTTGATGAAATTCTTGCATTTAGTGATTTATGAAATAGGAAAAAAAATGTTTACTATGTTTAAATTTTATGTTTAGTTATAAACGCTTGCGATACTAATTTATTAGGCCCGGTGCCTACCTAGACTCCATTGTCAACCACTTGGAGCCCTGGAACATTCTTATGTCATATTTCGGTGTGAGTGGTTCTTTACGAAGTTCTACTAATTAAAAAAAAACATATCCTTTCGGAATCTATTATTATAAGTAACATAACAGTATCTAATTGTAAGGTCACGGTGAGTGAGTAAACGAAAAACCTCATACTCATTCATGGCCACCGAGATGGTATGATTCATTATGTAAATTGCTACGCTATTTACTACAGACTATCCTACGTTGTGACACTTAAAGATCTTTAAAAGGAATATGAACTCAATTTTTCCATATATGTGAATCATACAATTTCGTACCGAATGAAGATAATCGATTGTGATTGTAATGAATCACTCGTACGTAAAATAAAAGATGTTCTTGGAACTGACTGCAGTTGGTTGCCATATTAAAGTATCATTAACGAAGATAAGGATTTAATTTTTAAATAGGTATATTTTTTTATGTCGCTTCTTGGGTTCTAAATACAAACTGAAAGTTTTAAATACTTTGGCGTCAACTATATTTCTGCCTATTTTATTCAAACTGTCGAGTTTGTTACCCCAGCAGGTTATACGATTGTCGTTAATGCCGTAATTATACTTACCTTTAAGTTACAATTGTATCTACATTTTAATATAAATATAATGTGTTAAAGTTACTTTACTATTTATTCACAAACCGATAAAGGTTATCCACAGTTTTTTTTTTCTAGAAAAAAATTCTTTGAGCGTTAGTTACTTACTAAAAGTAAAGAATACAACTCTTACCGAACAAAGCGATTGCGAATATGCACACGGACTGGTTCTTCGCCATTTCGCTTCACGCACTCTGGAACATAAGATCGTTGTCTGATTATGCAGGACAAGAGCAACATGTTATAGTGAAAATGTATACATCGGGAACCTTGCAGCTTGTTTGAATTCACTGTCAAACGTTATGTAAAAGAATCGTGATGAGTTCACTCTAAGGATTAATCACGGAATATATTTTCATCTCTTTGATAAAAAAAAATATTTTAGAGACGTAAGTATATTATACTGCAAACGAATTGGTAAGAACTTATTGTTTGATTTTGTCACTACTTATATTTACATTTCAACTTTTTGCGTATCTTTACAAAACTTTTGAGTTTTATACCTTTAATTATTATTATTGTCTCTACACAAAAAACACTATCCTACATAAACTTTTAGACTTTTTTAATTTTAGTACCATATAAACAAAGACAAAACAATTAATTACCTAATATAACCAATTTCAATTATTAATCAGGGTTACGGCACCGAATAACAAAAGATAAATTAAATACACAGACAGACAAATTAGGAATTATTTCGTTAACACATCGTATTATACACACAGAGTGTAAGTATGCATATCTAAATACATTAATAAATTACCAAGCATGTAGTTTAAACATTAATTGCCTTAATTGAAAATCGAAAACTGCACAATTCTGAAATCCAAAGGCACTGTTCAAGGGCCACTTTCGCGACACGTCTATAGCAGCTAGAAACCTGTTAGCTCTAAAAATACCTGAACTGGTCGGGAGCTGAACTGAGTCCACTACAGTTCGCACTCGCCTTTATCGAATATCCAGTTGTGTCACTTTTGTTTTGATCTCACTTCGTGCGCGTGCGTTTGGCGTGTCTGGCGCGAACGTGCGCCACTCGCGGAGGCGGTCTATGATCTGGCCGTCTAATCCTCATGAGTAAAGAAGGCACAGACGCAAAGCTTCATGCTTGCGCTTGTGTGAGAGAGCACTGGCGGCAGTCGCCATCAACAGAAGCGTTTCTCTCCGTACGCAATAGGCACCCAGTGCTCACTCCCACACGCGCACGGCATAAAGCTTTGCCTCTATGCCTTTTCGTCTTATACTATATACACTCTATGTAGTTCTGTCTGTCTGCTCCGAGTGTCTAGAGCCGGCGACCTCACTGATGCAGGAAGTCCACCACCGGGTCTCATGGATGGATGCGGCGGTGCTCTCTTAGTAATGCCATTATAGTAATTGTCGATTTACAATGTGAATTCAAGGTGCCTTGCTACCCACTACTACCACCGATCGCTCGCTGATTTCATTTGGTATTTTAAGAACTCTCACCTTAAGTATTCCCAAATAGGTATTACCTTAGTTTATTATTATTACAGACGTAAATATCCAAAATTTGAATGGATGGTGGTTGACCTTTTTGTCAACACGCTTATTAAACACTTGCTACCGGCTTTGTTCGTAGGTTCAATTGGTATTATTTATGTAAGAGCATAATGCTTTATATTAGATAAACATTATGTATTTTTTTTACAATGACGTAACTCAACCAGGATCTTAGTAGAAATCGTTTAAGTAGGGGTATTCTACATACAATTATAACTTTGTGGCAACTTTTCGAAAAACACTTAAGCAATTGTCGTCGATTTATCATTTCCAATGTTCGAGAGCAATTCAAGTTTTCTGAGTCATGCTCATATTTAGTGTTCCGGTTTCATTTCCTTTTCATTGTGATCTCGTTACGTTTATTTGTGTCTGCTCAGTCCGCATCGATTGGTCTATTAGAATATGATTTAATAGCTTTATTAAAATATGTTAAAATATATCGATGCTCCGGAGACAACAACAACATTCTTATAAATCCAAAGTTATTTTTTTCTCAAATTAACTTTAGATTTACATGTAGCAGTTAAATGTAAAACAATATATTTAACAACATTCATATAAGCGTATTTGAAGGAATTAAATGCAAAGCGCAGTCTGCATTGGATGAAAAGCTAATAAAAACTCGTTCTTTTTGCAAAAAGCTTGCAAAAAAGCTTAGGGCGTGTTCACGGGCGCAAGAACCCAAGTTCACGCTGCAAGTTTTGTTTAATTCAACTACTTATTATTTTTTATACGATGCGATGATCAAATTACCCCACGACTGGACCTCCTATTAATCTTACCATAAGGGGGGGTAAGTGTAATAGGAGTCCAGTCGAGAAGATGATGATGACGATGATGAGATGAGGTGATGATGATGATGATGAGATGTTGCGGCAGGCAGTGTTTCGTTCCAGCCATCCTCACCTTGCCAGCTTGAACCAAATCTTACGAAGCCCTGGAACCCTATTCACCTCTTCTTATGTGAGATTGTGAGCTATAATTATTATTATTCTCCTTTTTACCATTTGGCTGTCAGAGTGCAATGGGAACCCACTTACAATGTAAGTTCTTTCTACGATTAATCGACAATGCATTTGAGAAAATATGAAATTGTGTGTTTCTTAAGTACTAGATTATGGAAAAAACAGACAACATATTGGTAAAGACATTCGAGCTTAAGGGCGAGGCCACAACACTGCGTTAAGAACCCAAAAACGACGTCGCACATAGCAATATAAAAAACCTACAAGAAGGCAACGACCAAGAGTTCAGTTTCTAGAAAGACATGGACAGCACTACATTCTTGTTATGCTTGCAAGAAAACGACGCAGAACAGATGCATCAAGAAAAAAAACAGGAAATAAGTTATTGGCTGCACCCATTGCATTACCAGACCCCTCAAAAAATGTACACATAATAATAATATACAAATTTCTTTTAACGTTTTGGTTTTGAAAAAAAAATACTTTATATTCTGCCACTGTTCTATCCCAAGGAACGGGTCGTTCCTCAATATAAGAAATGAAATAATCGGTGTCGTAATTAGTCATGTTGTTGTTCATACGCACGCAACATGACTGTTCCAAGTGTGGACATTGAATGAAAAATAGCGCGTCGTCGCATCGCAAATTTTTACGGTGCGGCAGCGCATCGGTTGTACAACGTCGTAAATTTCTTCGGTGCGACGGCGACGCCGCAATGCAGTGTTGTGACCTCGCCCTAAGGGCCAGTTACACCGACATTCTTAAAACAAATTAATTCTTCACTAGGTAACTCTGTTTAACACATCATTCTATCTTGCCGTTTGTTTTAAGTCAGATAGAGATGGAATAAGGCTTAATAAACGAGATTTACTTTTTAGTTTCAGCTAAGAACTTTGAAACAAATGGGTCTAAGTCTTATCCATCTCTTTAGCTGTGTTTAAATGAAGGTGTAAGGATACCGTCACCAGCTGCTGCGTGGTGGGAAGGCAGGTTCCTTTAGTGTGAGTGCATGTGATTCCCATCACGGTATCGGTCATCACCAGGGTGACCAAGCGTGAAAATAAATTATGTGGACTTTTTTAACAAAAAGAAACATGATTACTTATAGTTTTGAGAAGATTTTAATACAGTAATGTTCATAAAGTATGTACATCGTAATTGACGCAATATCATAATGATGAAGGTACTAATATTATTTAATGTATTAAGTTTGTGTGTTCCACGACTTGGCGACATGACTTAGATAAGAAATAATAATAGTTCGTTGCTTAGATTAGGCATAAGCTACATTTTTGCTCGTTAAAGTATCAGATTGCTTAAGGATTTTCGAAAAATTTACTACAGGACATGTGTCCTCCCGGTGTCCTCTCGATGTAGATATTGTGAAATTTTTATCGCCATTAAAAACAGAAAAAATTCAGAACCCTTAAGTTTACGTGGGCAAAGTCGCAAGCAAAGTCTTGTCTTAACGAAACAAGAGCTAGCGTACCTTTTCAATGGTGTCGATTCCGGCATGATTCTCTAAACTTAAAACTAAATTTAACATCAGTCTCTCCTTCTGACTCTGTGTAGAGAATGACAACGATACACTTAGAGAGAGAGAGAGAGAGAGAGAGAGAGAGAGAGTCAAAATTAATTTTACGTTTAGAGAATCATGCCTAATATATACCATTGAGTTGTTAAACGTATACACAAATTCATTCACTCTAATATTTGTTTCGGAGGTTGGTGAAAATGCAGTGACGGTCTAAGCTAAATTGAGAAGTTGAATCCTAGTAAAGGCTTTTATCTCTTAAGGTGATCATGAGTATAATATATAAGTTGAAAAGCTTTATTGTTGACACAATTTTCAAACTTCAAGAAACGAAAGTTGTATTAATAACAATATGGTGACTCCATATTTCAAGATAATTATAAAAGTATTTATTTTTATATAGTGTTTTGGATAAAAAAATAAAAAAAATCAATCGCTGAAGTTGGGAATCAAAACCGACAATTTATTTCTGCTAAACGTGCTTTTCTGATTTTAAAAATGAATAATAAGATTCTGAAAATGAAAAAATGGATGCGTGTAACTTATGTACGCGCGTGAGAAGTTATACTTCTTTAGCATCATTAAAAATATTTTTAATTGCATTAAAATAATTAATAATTACAATAAAATAATAAAAGGACTGGAAAATGATAGTTAACACAGTCAATTAAGTTCAGTTTTAATTTGAAAAATTAAATAAATATTCAAAATATTCAATTAAAATCACTACTGAATTTAAGTTATTAGTCCATATGTAATTAGCACTTGTAAGTAACTAAAACACGTTGTGTCTATATAGAAACAAGAAACATGTGGATAAATATTATAAATATGAAAACAGTGATCAGAGGCGACGAGCGTGCCAACATTGTTTTTGACAACGCGATCATCTTATGGAGCTCCGTGGATCGTTCAAAGTACCTTTCGAACAGATGTCTAATAATGGTGGATTATTAACCACTAAGTGGTTAATAATCCACCATTATTAGACACTAACATTCATAACGCGCCCGCGGCCAACTTCATGGTGTTACTATTGTGTTACAGTGATGCGCGCGCATCTCGAAATTTCACTCACATGATTTTTTCATAACGCGCCCGCGGTTAATTTCATTATGTTACTTTTGTGTTACAGTGATGCGCGCGCATCTTAAAATTTCACTCTCATAATTTTTTCATAACGCGGCTAAAGAAGTATAACTTCAAAAACTGAATATTATAACTATTGAATTTTTGGTTACCTCGCTCGTGGCTGGCGGCTTGTTGGTTGGTGCCCGGTGCCGGTGACCCCGCGTTCCGGAGCCGTGATTCCCGTCGAAGGCGCCGCAAAAGGGTCACAATTCGCAACACTCCGACTTCAGCACAAGCATGAAAATAACATAGGATATCGGGTAGTTGCTTTTGGGAAAATAACATAGGATATCGGGTAGTTGCTATTTACAGTGTCTTGGAATGATTTTACGCTAGATATGGTTATGAGTGAGAACAAGGTAACGGAAAAATTCAAGAATGATTTTCTTTGATTTTGCGGACTTTTGTAGTAGTTGTTGTTGTAGTATAGTAGTATTAGTATAGAACATAAAGACCTCATAACCTAATAAAACATAATTCGTGCTTTAACCTACTAATTTTAAATGTATAAGTTTGTATGTTTGTTACTCAATTACGCAAAAAACGTTGAACGGATTTGGATGAAAAAAACACAGACATCTTGTAAGAAAGTCGAAGGGGAAGATTTTCCTCCAAGGTGGGTGATGGTAGTTCAGGGGCCACGACTGATGTCGTTCGGGCATTGGATATTTTGAGTGTTTGCTTCCGAATTTCCCTTGCGCGATGTAGGCTTCCATACTTATTGTTACCAGCGCCGTAAGCGCCATCTCTTGAAGAGGCGAATAATTGATTCCTCCATGTTGGTTATATGTGGGGTGTGTAGATGTCGCCGCCACATTACTCCCCTTAGATACTGGAGGTCAATAGTCTGTGTTTTGAGCAGACAGTGCGTTGCAAGTGTCACTGTGCTGCAAAATTGCTCCAGTCTACGGTGAGTCGAGACTGATGGAGTGTGACGGTGGGTCCGAGCTGCTGGTGTGCAGGGCTGCCACGCCGGTGTGCTTGCGGCCGACAAGTGAGGTTCAGAGGGTCATGGGTTGCAAAGATTAGGTGGGGATGATGCCGTCGGGTGCTGCCAAAAGTCCAGGAAGCATCATTGGGAGCCGCGATGGAACCTTGAGGCTGATGCTGGCTTGCTGTCTGTATGCTAATGCTGCTTGACCTAATGAGGAAGGGGTATGAAGACTGCTGGCTGCGCCGCTGTGCTCAGTCAAGGGTCACCAGTATAGGAAAGCCAAGCGGGAAGATCTTCCTCGGAGCTGGGTGATGTTAGCTCAGGGGCCGCGGCCCGAATGATGTTAGTCGGGCTAATTAAACAAAATTCGTGTTTTAACCTTCTAATTATAAATGTATAAGTTTGTATGTTTGTTACTCAATTACGCAAAAACCGCTGAACGGATTTGGATGAAATTTTAAACACATATCTTGTAAGAAGGCCAAAGGGAAAGATTTTCCTCCAAGCTGAGTGATGATAGTTCGGGGGCTACGACTGATGTTGGCAGTGAATATATTTAGTGTTTGTCTCCGAATTTCCCTTGCGCGATGTAGGCTTCCATACTTATTGATCGCAGCACCAGTAGCGCCATCTCTTAAAGGAGCGAGTAATAAATTTCTCTGTGTTGGTTATATGTGGGACGTGTAGATGTCGCCGCCACAAGTTTATAACGTGGAAAGAATCATAGGATACTTTTTATACCGAAAAATTGTTAGGTTTCTCAGGGTTTTCAAAAAACTTAAGTTAATGCGGACGAAGTCGCGGACGGTCGCTAGTAAATAAATAAACCTTGCGGAATTGGCAGAATATAAAAAGTAAAAATCACTCTAGCAAACCCACCTAAAGTAGTTACGCATTAATATAAATAAACAAAAAACATTACATTTTCAAAGTTCCTTCAAGATTTTCAATTTTGGAAAAAAAATGTACTACGCATACAAAAGACTTCAATGAGCCATAAATACTTTTTATTTAATTTTAAGTTATTTTTTGCATAGTTATCTTGATTAACTTGATAGTTAAGGTCATCATGTTGTCAGATAACCGTCTATTAGATACATATTGCGTTTGATGATCTTTAATTTAAATTAAATCCAGCAAGCCGGCAACGGATCTACAAAAAATGTAGGTAAAATTTTTTCGTTATGTGTTGTTGAGAAGTTACCTTTTCGTTTTTGTTTTCGTTTTTACATTCGCCATAAATTTGCGCAAACTGAAATAAAATATTATTATTTGATGAATGTAGACAACTGTTGCAAAATGGTTGGAAACATGACAAAGAACTTAAACATTTTGACTTGGATATATCGATCGATAGATGATATTATGGAAGCAGATTTTGATGCAACTCATGCAACGGCACAAATCCTGCTTTAATAGTTCCTGGATCTGTAGGTCTTGGATTTTAAGCCTGGTAGGGACATTTGGGGCGTTTTTATGTATGTCGTGTTTAAATTATGTTCTCAAGTCTTATTTTTTCTGATGATTATACAGTAATAAATAATTTACCCGTTATTTAGGATAATAAGTAATAGTATTACCTGGTACTTAGTTAATAGAGACTAAGTATGAAACTTGAATGTATGGTATGTTAAATAAGTACTTTTCATTTTAAAATAAATAACTGTGAAGTGGATATCAATTTTAAAATATTATCATAAAAGTCCAAATACCTATTAGGTAGTAATGATGAGAGTCGAGTGAAAGCAATAAATTGAAATAGATTTTGATTTGTACACCTACAATATGACTTGACCTCTCCCACTCATAAACTGGGGCCTTTAGCCTATAGAACGGTTGTTACATTTTCTGTCGCGTATCGTATTATTATCAATGTACTCTATAACAATAGTAATTTACTGCCGTCTCGCAGGCTGTGGGCGTATGACAGTGCCGGCCGGCTAAAACTTGATTACTCAACACGCAGTACCGTTATTACGAAGTGGTTTTAGCAATACCAGGTAAGTATACTGTTTATTAAAGTCTACTTCTTTATATTCATCTTCAATCTATTGTTGTCTGGAAAAGATGACCTATGGCGATAATTGTGACATTGTAATTTTTAGGGTTCCGTAGTCCTGAGAAGGAACCCTTATAGTTTCGTCATGTCCGTCTGTCCGTCCCCAGTTTTGCTTGGAGACTATTAGCACCGAGAGCTGCAATTTTGTGAAGATATGTACCTACCTACATATATCAATGACGCGCCGACAAAAAGGTAGAATAAATTTTTGAGTAATGTTTTTTTTAGGTTAGTTTCCCTACATGTAACCTGGGGGATGATGTTTTCTTCATCATCTACCCCATCGTGTGGAATATCGTTGAATAGATCCTTGAAAATCCTTAGGGGTTCCTAAGACAATTTGTCGATTTAGGGGTCCATTTGCGAAAATGCGTCTGCTGACGTGTAGACGGGGTAGTTAGCGCGTCTGTGGTAGGTACTGAATGTCCGCAGATGCGTCTGCCACCAATCAGTTTGTTGTCGGTTTTTGTGACACGCAACAAAGTGCTTCAGCGTGGACGTCCGGCGTGTCTGTCCTCACGTCCCACGACACAGGAGTAGTACTGGAGTTGCAAATGGGAGTGGACGCGTGCTTGCAATAATTTTTTGCTCGTTTGTTATTCTCGTTCGCCGAAATGGCTAAAATTACGAGCACTAACGAAACATTTAAATTCCTTGAGTTATATTCAAGGAGAACTACTTGTGGAATCCGAAAAATAGCCAGCAGCCACCACTTTCTTCTTTTCTATTTCTTTTTGTATAATTCAACTGCGATGCACCTCAAGTAGCAGTTAAAAGTACTAAATAAATAAATAGCTGCGGAAAATAGGATCTCATCATTTATTTTTTTTGTGTTGTGTGCGTACGACTTGCCTCTGTCGAGAATGAAAACAGACCGAATGTCCTACAGACGTCGTCGTCAGACGTGTGGTCGGCTCGTGGTGATCCATCTGCTGACGTGTAGAGGAGGCTTTACACAGAATAGATGAGACTTTCAAAAAGGATTCAAATAAACTATCGTTTCAATAGATTTTTCGTATATTAGTCCAAATTACTCTGTCAGTCCATGTCATATCTTGATTTTTTTTTATCCTGAGATTTGACATTATTGTGACTTGTTAAGTTTGTGACGTTAACCTGTCACTTTTCAATAAAAAAAATAAAATGTAACAATATAAGCTTCATAAAACGCTCAGTTAATTTAATTGAAATTAAAACCGAATACCCACTCCTGAAATTAAATTATAAAAACAAAGTATAATTATGTGACCCAAATTGTTTGTCTTTATAATTTATTGTTAATGTTCATCCGATAAACATAGCTTCAAACGAAGGTCATGTACCTACTAATATCATTCTGAGAAAATTCTGAGGTTAATTAACACAAGAAAATATTAATATAAGAAACCCACTTTTAGAGCTGTTTAAATATAATAATGACGAGCTGACATCAAAATTTATTAGCTAGGTAAGAATTTTAGCTTAATTTTAACATTATCTACAGTTAAAATCATGGGCAGAAATATAAATCACAGCTACCCAAAGAAGAAAATAATTAGAGGCTTCTGGATTCTGTAAAGTTCTTTGTTAAACTCTAATTTGCTATTAAACGGAAATGTTGCAATGTGTTATTATTTTTCTTAAGCTAAAATAATTCCAATGTGTTTCCTGTTTTTGTTTTATAGATTTTACTTGTATATTATTTCATTAGTATAGCAGGAGTACTCGGAACTGCTACGAGATGCAACCAGAACGTGGAAAGCAGTTAGAAAAAGGAGAGGAAAAAAACAGTTAAGACCACGTTAAGATAAAGGAATGAAGGAAGTTGAAGAAATATAGTTAAGAGTAATACTTATCGCCTTATTCTAAAATCCGGACTAAAGTGTGTCTTGGTTTAAATCTATTTTTTTTTTCTTTATTTATTTAGAGTTTGTCTCTGCCTTTTTTAGCAAACATAAGTGACAGCATAAGTTTTAGTCCAGGTTTAACTTTAGTCTGCGTTTTATAATAATGCGGTTATTAATGTTTATTTTATGTTTATAGATTAATACTATGTAGGTAATATTTTTTAGACATTCAAAAGAAAATAAGTATGAACACAAAATGATAAGGTAATTTCATATATTTTATGAGCCTGATGGACAGTATGCTGATGCATGTTGAGTTTCATCCTTTATACCTTACAGCGAACGGGCGAAACAATATTACAAACATTATCTGTGAAATAGAAGTAACTAATACACTTCTATCCAATATGAACAAATACCGCAAGGAGAACAAAATTAGAAACAATAAAATGCGAAGTTAAGAATGTCCTCTTAGAAAAATAAAATTAAAACCAGGCAATGAAAGACTTCCATATACGAAAACTATTGAGCCGTTTCTGCATATCTCCACATAAAGAGAAAAAGAACTATAAGGACTATTTCAGAGAAAAAATACTAGCCTACAGATATGAGCGTAATGGACATCAACCTGGATTCCGTAAGAAATATCAGCGTGACTGCATTGGAGATTGCTTTTTGATGTCTTTGAGAAAAACTCCGCAAGTTTGGATATATCATCGTTGGCCTCATATCTACCCTTACTATTTGGAATTCCGGCATACGTTCAAGAGTTTTGGTACCTGCTGCATGCTCTGCGCTGCCGTCCTATTCTGGACACCATGTTTTATTTGCTTTGAATTATGCCATTGTATAATTTGTTGTTGCTGTTGCTCCGACTGTTAATTCATTAACCAACGATAGTTTAAAGATTTAAATGAAGTTATGTTTTAAATACAGTTCACATAAGTTTTAATGTAACATAGGTCTTTTTTCATCGTCATCATGATGTAGCGGCACTATCAAAACATTCGAAAAAAAAAATATCTCTAAAGTTATAGGATCCCTTCTTGGGTTGTCAGAGTATTAAATATGCAGCTTGAGATTTAAAAAATGCCTAATTCGAAATGGTTTGTATCTAGATATTCCGAAATTTATAATTGAGGAGCTGGCAAACAAAACGGTATAATTACATAAAATAAAAATTTACAGTAGCTGTAAAAAACCTACAGTGTGCTTTTGGCGTGGTTTATTATTTATAATTTTAGTAATTTTAACACTGTTTTAGGCGGTTTTGATTGAAAATGAGTTGAAATTTAAATTCAGCAGGCCCAAAACCTCCGGCCTGTAAAAAGAAAGTAGTTTTACCAGATGCGTAATAATACCGTTTATTCGCCAGCTCCTCAATAATTATGTTGCCATGCCACCCCATTCGTCTTTAATGGGTTCCTATTCTATACTAATATGTATTCTAAAGAGGAAAGATATGATTGTTTGATTCATTTACATTTTTTTATGAATTTAGACCAAAATAGGTTGTAGAATATTTTGAAGAAGTTAGGGGTCCGCATGATAATCCTTTAATAATGTAACCCATAAATAAATGATAGGTCTCGCTACGCTCGACATGTAACCCAACGTGTAGGAAAAACCAAAAAAGAAAATCCTTAAATCGTGTACGCTGCGGAAACTATTAAAACGTGGTGGTTATATCCTATTTGAATACTCCAAAATGATGTAAATATTTTCATGTAATATAATATACTGAATTTGTATGAGCACAGTTTGTGTCTGTTTCCCCGGAATGGTTTGGAAGTCGTATGAATATAGTCTGCTACTGCGAAACAAAACAAACGTATTATTTTCCATTATAAGACGATGTTTCTGTTATTTAGTTTATTCCATGGTGGGTGTGGTTACCAAAAATGATAGACAGATAAAACTTTATTCACACCAACATGCACACATACAAAAACTGGCAAGAAACATTAACCTGAAAATTAGATTTGTTGTTAGTTGTTAACTCTGAGAGCAAATCTCTGATTTATATTAGCACATCATTTCCCAGCAGTTCAAAATTAAATGTGAGTTCTTTTCGCATGCAGCAGAGTTCTATAGTTCCTGATACTTTTTAAGTAGTTCTGGCGTTTTTACGCAAAAAATGTAAATTAACAAAATGGTCTACGAACTTCCCGTAGCATATAATTTTGCAGCAGATCGAAAACAAATGTGAGTGCTTTTCCAATGCAGCTGAGTTCTATAGTTTTCGATTTTCTGCAAAATGATATGCTACGGGCAGTTAGCAGAAGATTTTCTGAATTGCCATTTTTCGCGAAATGCCAGAACTATTTTTAAAAAGTATCAGGAACTATAGAACTCAGCTGCATGCAAAAAGTACTCACATTTGTTTCCGATTTGCTACAAAATGATATGCTATGGAAAGTTAACAGACCATTTTGTTAATTGACATTTTAGTTAGTTATTACATTGCATTCAAGAAGCTTATATACAACACTGGAGATTGCATGTAGAACTTCTGTATGAAGATGAGTTCATTAACCCCATGATATGTTTTTTATCTCTCTCACACACTATCTGAAATTACCATGTTAAATACAAGAAATTCCAATCAGAAAGTGAAAATAAACAGAACTATGCAAGATATCAATCAGTTTTACAATCTCCAGAAGTCCTACTCTTGTATTACTATTATAAGATGAGTGTGACAAATTCTAACCAACTACTTTGAAATCAATATTTAAAACTAAATAATAAATACGCCCTTTATTTCCCTGTTTGCTGGTTGCTACCATTTTGGTATAATAGCAACACTAATTAAAAAATCAACTGAAGAATAGCTCCGATCTGTCAAAAAAAATCTACCGCTTCGAATGTTTAGATTATTATTAAAAAGTGTTAAATTGTTCAATTTGCTATTTATAATATGTATTGTGTGAGATTGCAGAAGTGTTTGGGAACCAAATTCCAGCACTAAATTTCACAGGTAAGTCTATTACATTACGCCAATACCGAAATAAACAAATTCCTATATTTTTATGTTGTAATCATAATAAAACGTTAGTATTTATAAATCATAGTGTCCTGAGGCTATAAATTAACGTTATTCTTGTTTTATTCACTACATTTGGTACCATATTCAGCAGTTTATTAAATTAAAATAATATAAATTTTGGTTTTGTAGGGTAACCATTATCACTACACTTGAGATATTTTGAGAAAGTTAATAAAATACATAAGTATTATTGTAAATAGTAATTATAAAGTTCAAAATATGAAAATAAGTTTATAATAAATACTGTAGTAGATCATGTTGATTAGATGTAGAAAACCTATTTAATAACAGCTATCTAGCAGCGGTCTTATACCTTTGTTTATGTTTCAGCTTCCCGAAAGATGTCATTAAAAGAAATTCTTGGTTGTCCATTATACTGTCACAAACGCTCTCGAAAAGGAACCGCGAATGTGCTAGAGATCGAATTAGCCAGAGCACCGCGGGTCGCAATAGAAGTCGAGTAAGGCGGCTCATTCTAAAATGAGCCTTATGCAGTGCGACGTAAAGGAGAAAGTGCAACGATATCAGCACTTTTTTACAAGTTATGCGTGTTACTTGCGTAGGTATAAGTAGGTATTTCGTACTCGCGGGTGCTAGGTAATTCTCAATTTAACAGGTACTTTCTAGAACTTCGACTTTCGACGACCTCCGTGGTCGAGTGGTTTGTACGCCGGGTTTCATGGTGTCGCCGACTCGAGAGGTCCCGGGTTCAAATCCCGGTGGGGACAGATGTTTGTGTAATGAATACGAGCATTTGTACTCCAATCATGGATGTTTAATATGTATTTCTGTAAAAAAAAATATACATAAATATGTACAGTTTATGTATTCTATCCGTTACCCTAGTATCCCATAACACAAGCCTTATAGTACTTACTTTGGGGCTAGGCTAATTTGTGTGAGTGTTGGAAATATTTATTTATTTATTTACTTTCTAGAATGCATCGATCGGCGTATATAAGGGCGATTGGCGCCGCGCAGAGACAGTTTAGTTTCAACAGCGATTTCGGAGCGAATCCAAAGGCGATCAAAGTGCAACAAAAGTGTTCAAGTAAGATTGTTTAGAGACTTGTATAGTGAAATACAGTGTTTAGTGAGTGTTTTGTAATTAACATTGTGTGTTAATTGTGTGAACTGTGTGGTGAATAAAGAACTGTCAATCGTGAACTGGCATATAATTTCGAACCCCATCCCGACACGTAACAATACCATTAAAAGGTCAATTTTATTTATCAGCCAAAATATGTAGCTTAGAGATTCTAGTCCGTTCTTAGTAAAATGCATTTCTGGCGATTTTAAAAAGGGTTTGCATATTCTTTCTCGTTAATTTTTTTATAAACGTTTTTGACATGGCATAATATAAGACGCATCTAATATGAATAAAATGATTTTTGTACTTGTGAATTTTATTACTATTAAATAATGTGTTCCCAAGTTCCTATCAACTCCAACGCTTTGATTTATAAATTGTTTAAAGACGATACCAGTAAGTATGTATCCTAAACGTATATTCCAACATGGTCACCCTTAGAAAGAGATAACAAACATATGTGACGTCATTCAAGGCCATATTTTTTCACTTCAAGGTCTCAGACCAAATAAAAAGTAAAGACGGAGTCTGCCGAACCAAAAAGTGAAGCCGGTTTTTTATGTATGTAGTGCATTAGCCAGTGTTACCATAGTCATATAAAACACCCCAATATTAGAAAAATGTAATAACGTTATTTCATAACGTTATTACTTTTTTAATAACGTTATAAAATATTAGAAAAAAATATCGTAAGCTTATTCTCTAAACCTCTCGTGAGCCAAAGGTCATACGCCGTTCTCACCTACAAATGCCGGACTTCTTTATGGACCGCCCGCCCGTTGGGTGGGAACGATTGCATTGTTCTGCCGATTTCTCTGTTATTTTGTAAAAATACCCTTCACAAACGTATATTTGGATTCTCCATAAAATTTTCAATAAAACAGTGTGTACACAATGCGTCATGTCTATAATTTATTTTAAATACATTATGGTAAACTCAGGAAAGATAATAAAAAATCGTTTAAATAGGTAAAATGTGTATTTTCAAAATTTGTAAATTATAAATCCAGGTTTTTGTACATATAGAATGTACTATATATGAATGAATGTATATAATAACTTACCAAATACAATTATAAAATATAACACGCAACAGAAAAAAAGGTGTCGTGTTGCAAGTGTTGATAAAAACAAATGCGAGATCCAAGTGCCCAACGGCACCGTGTATTGCAATCGGTTCCGGTAGAACATGTTCATTGAACATGACCTTGGTTTTATCCAAGTTCATCCGTAGGCCGATGCGTATAGAAGAGTCAGCCAGGTCATTCAGCATCTGCTGTAGGTCCTGCAGGGTTTCTGCCATGATGACGATGTCGTCTGCAAATCGCAAGTGAGAGATGCGTTCGCCATTTATGTTGATGCCATGTCGTTTCCAGTTCAGCGTCTTGAACATATCCTCCATTGCATTAGTGAACAATTTCGGGGAAATAACGTCCCCTTGTCTCACTCCACGATGCAACGGTATGGGACTTGTTTGCTGATTCTGTACTTGGACAGACATGGTGGCGGCTTCGTAGAGACATCTTATCACTTGGATGTATCGCCAGTCGACTTGGCAACGCTGCAGGGACTCCAGGACAGACCAGATTTCAATCGAGTCAAAGGCCTTCTCATAGTCCACAAATGCTAGGCACAGGGGCTGATTGTACTCCTCAGTCTTCTGTATAATCTGCCGCACTGTGTGGATGTGGTCTATGGTGCCGTATCCACTCCGAAACCCAGCCTGTTCCGGTGGTTGGAAGTCATCAAATCTTCGCGCAAGACGGTTCGCGATCACTCTTGAGAACAGCTTATAGACGTGGCTTAGAAGGGATA